AAAGAAACAGACGTGTGGTCGAGTGCTCAGGAAGTGCTCCCACGTGGCGGGCGCCACCACCCACTGGGATCTAGAAGTTGCCCCTATGTCGCCCCTGCTGTGGCCGGGAGGCCTCCGTGGCCAGGCAGGTGGCACTGACTCCCACCCCCGCTGCCTGCATTGGCTGAGGGAGAGCTGAGTGTTTGGGACTGAGGTCCTTGGGGCTGGCCTCCTGCAGGGTGTGGCCCAGGCTGTCTCTCCCTCGTGCAGGTGAGCGCTGAGAAGAAGCCGACAGGCAGTACTGTGGGCATGCGGGCCAGTGTGGAGACCAGCCCCCTGCTGCAGGTGAGGCCAGGAGCAGGTGGCCCCGGGGCCCTGGGAGTCATGCTTGTGCCCGACTCTGCCCTCAGCCTCTGTCTGGGCCCAAACGTTCTCACACCTGCGGCAGCCCCGCCAAGACCAGGTGGAGGAGCCACATGCAGAGATGGGGCTTGAGCTGGGCTGCCAACCCTGGAGACCCTCCTGGAACCCTCTGCTGTCGAGACCCCCAGCGGCTCCATGGGAAACACCCCGTGCCTTGCAGTTCCGGGCCGAGTCTGTGGTACCGGCGCGCATGGCGGAGATGACCCGCTGCATCCGGGAGCGAGACTTCCCCGGCTTCGCCCAGCTGACCATGAAGGACAGCAACCAGTTCCACGCCACCTGCCTCGACACCTTCCCGCCCATCTCTTACCTCAATGCCGTCTCCTGGCGCATCATCCACCTGGTGCACCGCTTCAACGCCCACCACGGGGACACCAAGGTGACGCGGGCTGGGAGGGCAGAGGCTGCGCTCTCGCGCTGTGTCGCGTGTCTAGGCTTATGCTGCCGTGGAGACGGTCCCGGGAGCCGCGTGCAGGGTGATCTGTGTCTGAAAGCTCGGCCCTGCTGTGTGCGGAGCTCACTGACCATCCGGGTTCTTCTGTTTCGTTTTGTTTCTTGACTTGCTCGGGTCACAGCCCCACCACCTTTTTCCTGGGTTCACAGGCAGAGGTGTCAAGTACCAGGCACTTGGGGTCACAGCTCCACTCCAGTGTGGCCCTGAGGGCCTAGACTGAGCTCTTGGAGAGCCCAGGGCCCCCTGGCAGACCAGAGGGTTGAGGGGACAAGGGCCAGGCACCACGTGAACAGCCGGAGTGACTGCTGTGGGTTCCAGGTGGCGTACACCTTTGACGCGGGCCCCAATGCCGTGATCTTCACCCTGGACGACACTGTGGCTGAGTTTGTGGCTGCTGTGAGGCACAGCTTTCCGCCGGGCTCGAACGGAGACGCGTGAGTGTGGACCCTTCCCCGCCGCCTCTTTGGGAGACGGTGCCAGGAACCCTAGTCGGAAGAGACGGAGGCACCTGAAGGCTGTGACACTGAGACGGGGAGTCCCAGGGCAGGTGGCAATTCCCCGAGTGTGGGAGCCACGGATAGGGTGTTCCCACAGAGCCATCCCACAGCCCACGTCCACCGGGAAAAAAGAGAGGCCGTGCAGGCGTGTGTGAGACGCACCCACCTCCTGAGAGACGGCATCCCCTGCAGCTCAGAAGCCCACAGGCCCTTATCCTATAGAACAGTGGCTTCTGAGGAAACACATGTGCATTCCCAGGAGCGTGCACAAGTGTCTGACATTTTGAAGGCAAGGAGTCAAAGCCCCCGACTGCCTTCTTACCGAAGTGAGTTAGAGGCGGTCAGGGCGGCTGGGTGTTGACCCCGCCCCTGCAGTTGGGTGTCTTTTCTGGGGTGGGGTCGTCTGGCAGCTGCATCCTGGCGCCACAGAGCCCCCATGTACACCCTCCTCGGTGCACAGCGTGGCCCAGCCTCCTTTCGCTCCTGGGCTGTTGATTTCTTCCCTCCCGCTGTTTTAATGGAGCCTGATTCTCAATGTGAGGGGTGCCTCCTGTTTAAGGGTGTCTGGAAGCGTGGGGGATGGGCATCTGTCCTGGGTGGGAGCAGTAATACCCTCTACTGGTCAGGGGCTGCCCTGTGGGATGGACTCGGACCCGCGCCCCAGGACTGCCCTCCTGGGAAGCACCAAGCTCGTGGCTTCTGCTCCGGGTGGGGCTTGCAGGCTTCCGTTGCTCTGCAGAACACAGTGACAAACGCACCAGCTTGAACTGGGCACTTCCCTAAGCTGTTACCCCATGGGGCGTGGCAGCAGCCTTGGCCAGACGTGGGTCCAGCCTGGGCATAGCTATTTACCACATAACCTAAAATTCACTGTCTCAGCCATTCCAGAGCATACAATCCTGTCGTGTTGAGGACACTCACAGGGTTGTGCAGCCACCACCTCGAGCCACCTCCTTAACTTTTTCATCACCCCTAAAAGAAACCTGTCACCACAGCGGCCACCTGCCATCTCCCACTCCCTGAGTCCTGACAGCCAGCAATGCATTTCCCATCTCTGGACTTGCCTGTTCTAGACGCTTAGAGAAATGGAGGTTGGCTGGGCGCGGTGGCTCACGCCTGTAATCCCAGCACTTTGGGAGTCTGAGGCAAGAGGATCACGAGGTCAGGAGATCTAGACCATCCTGGCTAACACGGTGAAACCCCGTCTCTACTAAAAATACAAAAAAATTAGCCGGGCGAGGTGGCGGGTGCCTGTAGTCCCAGCTACTCAGGAGGCTGAGGCAGGAGAATGGCGTGAACCCAGGAGGCGGAGCTTGCAGTGAGCCAAGATCGCGCCACTGCATTCCAGCCTGGGCAACAGAACGAGACTCCATCTCAAAAAAAAAGAAAGAAATGGATGTGTTCACCATGCCCCTGCCCTGCTTTTCCAGGTTTCTGAAGGGGCTGCAGGTGAGGCCGGCCCCTCTCTCAGCTGAGCTTCAGGCTGCGCTGGCCATGGAGCCGACGACCCCCGATGGGGTCAAGTACATCATTGCCACTCAGGTGAGGCCTGGGGCTCGGCTGGTGCTCTCGGGGTTTCCTTTCTTGCCAGAGGGGCCTGCCCAGCCCCCAGGGCCCTTGCAGGCTCAGCCCGGCTCCCTGTCCCTATCCCTACTGTGTCTCAGGCAGGAAGCCAGAAAGCCTTTGTTCATTTGCTCTCAAAGTGGACATTACAGGCCACTGGCGATACTCAGAGCAGCAGGGCTGGGCTGGGGGTGGAAGGGCGAGTCTGACACAAGCTCCCAGGGAGACAGGTGGGGAGCATCAGGCCCCTGAATAGGGAGCGCTTGGGGTGGGTGCTTCTGGGGTCCCTGGGCCCCGCACCCCAACAGACCAGGGTTCCTGCTCTCCGACCTGCCCCGAGAGCCAAGCCTGCATCCAGCGATCACGGCCGCCCGAGCTGTTGCCTCCCCCTTCCTCTCAGGGGCCACATGCACAGGCTGCCTGTTTCCAGGCTCTGTGGTTCTCTGTCCACCCTATGACGGAGGCAGTGCCCTGGGCGGGGGCTGGCAGCTGGCGGGGCGGCTGTGCCTGAGGGAGCTGCGTGTGGGTGGTTTAGCTTCTGACCAGGACCCACCAGAAGGGCGGGGGCACACCGCTACCCTCCTGTGTCTGGCCCCCTACAGATGCTGGGCACAGGATGAGGTGCTGCCATTCCTGGTGACCTGACACGGATCTCTACCCCCAGGTGGGGCCAGGACCCCAAATCCTGGACAACCCCAGCGCCCACCTCCTGGGTCCTGACGGCCTGCCGAAGCCAGCTGCCTGACCGCCTCAGCAGGACCGCACGCGCGTGGAGAAGGGGTGGCCTCGCCAGAGCTAGGGAGCGGGTGTGGTGGGCTCCGGACTACTGGGACATGTGGGTGGTGGCTTGTCCCGGGGCCCATGGACAGCTTGCTGTGGGGCCGTGCAGGGAGCCCTGCAGCTGCCCAGGTGTCAGGAGAGGTCCCTGCCGAGTGCTTCAGCTGCCCCAGGGCTTTGCCAAGATGGGATGGGGTGGGTATGAGAGCTGGCAGAGCCTCGGTGCAGCAGGGCTGAAGGGCTCTCTCACCCCAGCTCCAGCTGCTCCCAGTTCTCTGAGACGGGAGCTCAACGGGGAGGTGATGTCCCTCCATCGGACTAGGGAAGGGGTCACTGTGCTGGGAGCAGCCTCCTCGGGCCTCAGGAAACCACCAAGTGCCTTAGATGGTGGCTGCCCACAGCACTTCTGCTGAGACCCTGCCCCAGGCCTAGGTGTGGCTGGAATGGTGGTAGGAGTGGGCACCAGTGTGGCCCTGGTGGCCGTGGGGAATAAACCAGCATTGCTGCCTCCTGCCTTCCGCTGTTTTTCTGTTTCATAAACCAGCATTCCGGAGTTCCTGTTCTGAGTGACCCTGGGACCTGCCAGGGAGTCCCGGTGTGCCCCATGAGGGCCTAGGAGAGGGGCAGGCTGGACAGAGCCACAGAGGGGCTCCCCTCACACCCCACATTGGCTCAGGTGGGACCCTCAGGAGCAGCCCCCGGTCTAAAGTCTTCCCATGGGCGCTGGGCTCACCACCCCCACGCCAACCCCTGCGTCCTGTCTCCAGGCCAGAAATGACGGGGCCGTCCCTGCATTCTGTGCTTTCCCAGTTGTGCACATCCTGTCCCCTCCCTCGAGTATCAGTCACAGTCCAGTGGCATGGTGTGGGGAGCCCCCCCGCAGTGTCTAACCCAGGCCACGCCTGTGCCAGCCCAGAGCCAGGGGGAGGAAATGGGGGCTGGGCCTTTGGTCCCCATGGGGAGGCCACCCTCGTCCTTGGTAGCATCAGGGTGCAGAGGTGTTCCCGGGCTGTAGGAGTGACCCCTCTGCTATTAATAGAAGCCTTGTTGACACGGGACCCTCAGTTGGGTCCCGGGCGTTGGGCAGGGGAATTTGTCAGTGCTTGAGAGCTGAAGCTGGGAAGCCCTGGGGAAGCGCGCTCCCCGCCTGGGCTGGGGCTGCTGAGCAGGGCCCCTCCTATGCCTCGGCGGGGTAGAGAGGGCGGGGACAGAAGGCTCCGGGGCAGCCCTGCACCCTACAGACGCAGGTCTCCGCCCAGCCGCGGTCACCTGGGGGTTTGGGGGCAGGGCCTGGGCGGAACGGGATTCGGCCGGGAGCGCAGGGGCGGCAGTACGCGCCTACCAGTGTCCCGGCAGGGTCCGTGCCGCCATGGGGCAGATCGAGTGGGCCATGTGGGCCAACGAGCAGGCGCTGGCGTCCGGCCTGAGTGAGTGCGCGGCAGGGACGGTGGAGGCTGCAGCCTGGAGGGGTATCCCAAGACCCCAGCCGGGACCTCGGGCTACTTACAGGGCGGGGAAGTGGGGCGCCAGGCGGCCCAGGGTCAGGCCAGGAGGGTGCGGGGAACAGGGGCGGGACCCTCAGGGCGCGGGCTGGAAGGAGTTCTGAGAACCCCAGCAGTCCCCTTGCAGACCCTGCGGAGCGCGGCGCCCCTCCCCCATTCCCTCCCTCGGTCCCCCGACTCCGCGGAGGAGGAAGTTGCAGCGCAGGGGAAGAGGCGGTTCAGCCCTGGTGGTTTCCGGGGTCGCCGCCCCAAGCCCCCAAATGGGGGCTCTGGCCTGGGCGTCGGGAGAAGCTCCCCTGTCCCTCGGTAGCCAGCTGGGCTGCGAGTCGCCCTCCCTGGGCTTGGGGTGGGGAGTGGGCTCTTCATGCCCCGGGGCTCAACCCTCCCCATCTGGAGTCTGCGCTGGAGGCGGCCTGGGATTACACGAGGCGCTGAAACCACCCAGTGACGGCCCTGCCCAGCCCAGCTGCTCAGGCGCTTTGCTCTTGGGGTGGGATGGCACCGACCCCAGTCACCCTGCTGCGCACTTGCTCAGAGGTTCCGGTGAGGGCAGCAGACTCCATTTCGAAATGGACCCTCTCAGGACCAGAGCCGGGGAGTGTCCGGCCCAGGCCGGGTGAGGCTGGGTTCAGGCGGGGTCTGAGGGCAGAGGCACCAGCGCGGCAGCTCCAGGAAGGACCTGCACCCGGTGGGGAGGAGTGCCTGGGAAGGGCCTGGAGGCTGAGGGTGAGGAGGGGCCCGCTGCCACCACTGCCCTGGGGCTCTGAGCGCCCTACTGGTTGTCTGGAGTGCGTGGCAGAGACCTCAGGGTGGGAGGCCTGGAGCATGGGGCCCTGCAGCCTGTCCCACCGCCTGCTTCGAGTCAGCGGCCAAGATCTCGGTAGGTCAGTTCAGACAGCTCTCCCCAGAGCCGCCCCTTGAGACTGTCACCCTGCCTGCCCCGCACTCCCTACAGGAAATAGAGGGTCTGAGGGCACTCAGCTGGGAGCCAGGAGAGCTGGGCTCTAGTGTGGCTGCCTGCTGAAACCCTCCAGGGGCTCCTGGCCCAAAGAATTAGAGCGGGACTGGACGCCCTGCGTTGCCTGCCCTGGCCTCCCAGCTCTCTGGCCCCCTCCTCCAGCTGCCGGTCTTCCTTTCTGTTCCTAGATCTCCTGAGCTTGCCCCAGGGCCTCTGCACAAGCTGCTGCTTCTGCAGAGCCTCATGGCTGTCTCATTTCTCAATTCAAATGTCACCCGATCGGGGAGGTCTTTCCAGAGCGTGCAGCCCCGGGAGGCAGCTGACCCAGAGAGAGTGGGGCCTTGACAAAGAGTCCCCCCCGTACACAGCAGGTGCTCTGTCACTGTGGCTGGGTGCCAGAGTACATCCTCAGCCCTCCCTGGTGGCACCAGCGGCAGCTTTGCAGCCTCTTTCAGATGGCAGGCTTGGGACCAGGACGGTCCCCCAAAGATGCACGGACAATAGGCTGAGTAGACCCAAGGACACTGCCCTCCCCTCCTCCAACACAGACAGGCAAACCCAGAGAGTTAATGTGTAGCTGGGCTCAAACCAAGGATAGGAAATCTTCAAACAAGACCATGTGGAGGCAAAAACAGAATGGCTGGCAGGGCAAGGTGGCTCATGCCTGTAATCCCAGCACTTTGGGAGGCCGAGGCGGGCAGATCACGAGGTCAGGAGATCGAGACCATCCTGGTTAACATGGTGAAACCCCGTCTCTACTAAACATAAAAAAAATTAGGCCGGGCGCGGTGGCTCAAGCCTGTAATCCCAGCACTTTGGGAGGCCGAGACGGGCGGATCACTTGAGGTCAGGAGATCGAGACCATCCTGGCTAACATGGTGAAACCCCGTCTCTACTAAAAATACAAAAAATTAGGCCGGGCGCGGTGGCTCAAGCCTGTAATCCCAGCACTTTGGGAGGCCGAGATCGAGACCATCCTGGCTAACCCGGTGAAACCCCGTCTCTACTAAAAATACAAAAAACTAGCCGGGCGAGGTGGTGGACGCCTGTAGTCCCAGCTACTCGGGAGGCTGAGGCAGGAGAATGGCGGGAACCCGGGAGGCGGAGCTTGCAGTGAGCTGAGATCCGGCCACTGCACTCCAGCCTGGGTGACAGAGCGAGACTCCGTCTCAAAAAAAAAAAAAAAAAAAAAATTAGCCACGTATGGTGGCGTGCACTTGTAGTCCCAGCTACTTGGGAGGCTGAGGCAGGAGAATCGCTTGAACCTGGGAGGCGGAGTTTGTAGTGAGCTGAGATCACACCACGGAATTCTAGCCTGGGCAACAGGGCAAGACTTCATCTCCAAAAAAAAAAAGAAAGAAAGAAAGAAAGAAAAATAAATAAAATAGTAGGAAGGACCAGGCGCCGTGGCTCACGCCTGTAATCCTAATACTTTGGGAGGCCAAGGCGGGTGCATTCCCTGAGGTCAGGAGTTCGAGACCAGCCTGGCCAATGTGGTGAAACTCCGTCTCTAATAAAAATATAAAAATCAGCTGGGTGTGGTGGCGGGCGCCAGTAATCCCAGCTACTCGGGAGAATGAGGCAAGAGAATTGCTTGAATCCGGGAGGCAGGGGTTGCAGTGAGTCAAGATTGCGCCACTGCACTCCAGCCTGGGTGACAGAGCGAGACTCCATCTCAAAAACAAGAGAAAGAAAAAAAAAAATAGTAAGGGGGAATATTGGACAATACCCACCCCCCACCCCGAAAAAAAAGGTGCAGAAATAGCCACATCAGACGAAACCGAAATTAAGGCGAAATAGCTGACGGGTTAAGAGGAACTCCGTATCAGGAGGAAAGAGACACCCCCAAGATGCAGAAACCACACTCGGCCTATTGGCTTTCAGTGCATCAAAGACTCATGGTGACAAGGGGTCCATCGGGGGTCCCAGAGCCCAGGGGCACAGGCCCACTGGGGCCTGCAGGTCGAGCCGTCCCTGGCTGCTCCTGGGACCTAGAGCCCGGACATGTCCAGCACCCCTCCGCCAGCCCGTGCGCCACAGTCTCTGCTCTTCACCAGCGCAGAGGGGTGCCTCCTGGGGGTGTCCCTGACCCTGTCACTGTGCTGTGGGGATGGGGATGGGGATGGGGATGGGGATGGGGAAGCTCTGGGTGGCCTGATGGCCCACAGGAGGTAGAGAAGGGGAGTGGCCCAGGCCCCCAGGACGGGAGTCCCACAGTACCTGACCCACTTCTCCCCACAGTCCTCATCACCGGGGGCATCGTGGCCACAGCTGGCCGCTTCACCCAGTGGTACTTTGGCGCCTACTCCATGTATCCTTCCACCTAAGGCTGGGGCGGGTGGGGAACGCCCAGGGCAGAGCCAGGGAACCACTTCACAGTGAGCTGTTCGCCTCCGCTCCCCGCCCCCGCAGCCAGGCTGGGACACAGGGTGGGCTGTCCACGGGTTGGGCAGCCTAGGCCCCAGCAGCCAGGCTCCTCGCCTGGGCCATGTGGTGGTCAGCGGCAGACCCCCAGTCTGAGTCCTGGTGAGGGGTGGGCAGGGGGTGTCACCAGAGGGCCAGGGCCAGCACTGAGGCCTCCCGGTTGGACTGCTGGGATCCTGTCTGCCCCCTCCTGTCAGTCAGCCCCCTTGCCCGGCCCCTCCACCTCCTTTGCCCCATCTCAGCCCAGCCGTACCTTGCGACAAGCAGCATTGGGCAGGGTGGTGGGAGGGCGGGCGTGGGCAACCCCGAGTGCCTGACCTATTGGAACCTCCCGTGGCTGCCTCCTGGCTCTGTGACCTCAGGCAGTGGCTGCCCCTTTTTTTTTTGAGACAAGGTCTCGATCTGTGCCCCAGGCTGGAGTGCAGTGATGCAGTCATGACTCATGGCAGCCTCCACCTGGGCTCAGGCCACCCTCTTACCTCAGCCTCTGGAGTAGCTGGGACCGCACACGCACACACCACCGCACCTGGCTGACTCTTAAATTTTTTGTAGAGATGAGGGTGTCACTGTGTTGCCCTGGCTGGTCTCAAACTCCTGGGGCCTCCAGTGATCCTCCTGCCTCAGCCTCCCAAAGTGCTGGGATTCCAGACGTGAGCCACTGTGCTCGGGCCCTTCTCTGTGTTGTCTTCAGTAAAGAGGGTTCCCTGTGGCCCCCCAGGCCGAGCTGGGCTGTTCCTTAACCACATGGCTTCAGCGTGGCGGGCGTGTTTGTCTGCCTGCTGGAGTATCCCCGGGGGAAGAGGAAGAAGGGCTCCACCATGGAGCGCTGGTGAGTCTCCCCCTCCTGCTCTGGGGTCTCTCCCGCGGCTGCGGGGCCAGGCAGGGCTCACAGGGTCGGTACGTGGAGCCTAGTTCCTCACTCAGAGGCTCCGGAACCAATTCTTTGGTGCTTGTGGGCAAACCAAGGCCAGTGCCTGCCCTGTGTGTTTTCTGGGAGGAAAGAGGCCTGGGTGCCCTGGGGTCGTCGGCAGGGCAGCAGGGGAGTCCCGAGTGCTCGGAGAGGCCCAGCCGCGCTGTCTCCCCTTCCTCCCTCCCCCAGGGGACAGAAGTACATGACCTCCGTGGTGAAGCTGTTCGGGCCCCTCACCAGGAATTACTACGTTCGGGCCGTCCTGCACCTCCTGTGAGTCCCCACCCTTCACCCCCTCTCGGGCTCAGGGGGGCTTGGAGCCGACCCTCCCCCACTGTCCCACTGGCCGGGCTGCCTGGACAGAAGCCACCCCCTACTTACCTCGATGTTTTTCCAAACAAAAATTCGGGTTCCCGGCTCTGGCAGGGCCCCCGGAGTCCGTGTCCGCTGTCTAGTGTGCAGGATTTGTAAGGATCCTCCCCAAACCTGAGTAGCTGCGATCCTGTCTGGAGTCAGCAGGCCCTGCTGGGGGGTCTTGCCTTAGCTTCCTGGTAGGGTGGAGGATTCCGCACTGTGTGTCTGGTGGTTGCTGCCGGCCGAGGCCAGGACACCGGCACGGGGCTGCCCTGCAGCTGCTGGGGGTTCCTCTGAGCAAGTGCCCCCGAGTCGCTCGCATCCACATCAAGGCCAAGAATACCCAGGACCGAAACAAGCCCTGGGCCGCACACATCCCCTGGGTCTGTGGTCTGCCTTGTCCTGAGACTTTGCAGCCCTAGGCCGTGCACGCCTTGTCCTGAGACTTTGTGGCCTTGGCCCCCAGACCTGGGGCTCCATTCCCCTTTCTGAGTGCCCTTCTGTGTCCCTGCCTCCCACCCCCCACTCCCCCAGGCTCTCGGTGCCCGCCGGCTTCCTGCTGGCCACCATCCTCGGGACTGCCTGCCTGGCCATCGCGAGCGGCATCTACCTGTTGGTGAGTGGCGCCCTCTGAGGTTAGCCCCAGCCACCCCCACCCCCTGCCCTGACACCCTCGGACATACGTGGCCCTTGAAGCCAGCTCTGTAGGCTGAGCCGAGGCTGGGAGCAAGCGCGAGCGCGGGCGTGTGCTCACAGCACCGCCGGGACGCAGCAGTTGCCGCTGCCGTTTTTGGCGCGTCTGGTGTGTTGGGTCATTTCCCTGCATTTCTTCATCAACCCGCACCACGGCCCTGGGAGGGGTACTGGTGTCCCCACTTTGCAAAGAGGCGGAGGCGCAGGGAGGTGCTGCGGCTGGCCTGGGGTCGTGCAGCCGGCAGAAGGCTGTGCCTGGGCTTGGGTCCATTTATCAGGCTTTTCTCACCTAAACCCTATTTGCGCTGATTCGTGGGCGGTGCCAGGATGCACGCAGTCACGCAGGTATTTTCTTAAACTGCCGACACCTGGGTTTGGTTTAGGAACACAGCACCCTGTTAGAGGGCTGCCCATCCCATGGGATACAGTGATCGTTCTGAGAGGCCAGGGATGGGTGGGGGGACAGGGCGTAGCCTGGCCAGGCCTTGGGTGAGATGCCCTCTGCCTACCCTGGGCTCCGGAACAGACGGCTGCAGGCCACCTCGTACTGCAGAGGTCTCTGAGTGGACAGAGCCCTCAGACTTTGTTTATTTAAATCCTTTTGTCCCTAGAGGCGAGTGCCTCCTGCCCACAGAGGCAAACGCACACTAAACCAAACCCAGGTGCCGGCAGTTTAAGAAAATGTCTGCGTGACTGCGTGCATCCTGGCACCGCCCACGAATCAGCGCAAAGTGTGTGTGCGGTGTTAAATGTGCAGTACTTTCTGCGTGTGCCTTCCACGTATGTAAGTGGAGTTCTGTTTCAAGGCTCATTGACCTGCCACCGGCCTCTCAGGGCTCTCCTTTAGAATCCCTTCCTCTTGCCAAGCGCTCATCTGGGCTGTTGCTTTGTTCTCCAGGGGCCACCCACATGCCCCCTGGCTCCTGCTACCACATACAGCTAGCGCGCTCCTGGAGACCTCAGTAGGAATTCCTTGTGCTAAACCCAGAGAGGAATTGCTGGGTCAGGCATCAGCCTCTGTACCGTTGACCCTGCTGGGCTCAGCTGCTCTCCAGCAGACAACCTACCACCAGCCGTGCCGGCCCCATCGCCCCCACCTGGCGCACAGGGCTTTCTCCCACGCTTGGCAGTTCCACAGCATGAGGCTGGCCGTGCGGAGCTTGGACTTGCTCTTCTCTGACTGTGGATTTGCGCTGTTGGAGTTTCTTCTCCCTTGAGTTGCCTGTTCTTATCCTTTGTCCATTTTTCTATTGTGGTTTTTGTCTTTTTCTTAAGTTGCAGGAATTTCACGTGTTATTTTAGCTACTGAGCCTTCGTAACCTTTAG